GGACGCCTATAATCATCATGTACCTGGTAGCGTGGGCAACAAGACTTAGCATACGTACACTCTCTCCCTCTCACTTGTAAGGCTATCCCTGTCATCTATAAGAGGGGATGCGCTCTCTCTCCCAAAATAGATAGATCGATTAAGTTCATTGGCACATAACAGCAGAACCACTAGGTTTAAATCTCAAGCGCACGCTCAAACACTTAGCGCATAGCGGAGCTCTCGTCACACTCGGTCCCTCAGACCAGAGTCCGACCGGACCTCTTGTACCCCCCATCTTTCTCTCTTCCGTTTGTAACCTCATAGCAAACTTCGAGCACCTAGGCTCAGGAATAAAGTCACCGACCGATTCAAACTGAACGTAGGGCATGTTGCCTGAACCAGTATAAACATTGTTGTGGCTGAAAAAACAAGCTGAAAAGTATGAATTATAAGACAAATGAACATGGCCTAATGTGGTCTAAAGTTTTAGTGTTAAACTTTAGCTAACTAAACTTTAGACAAAAAATCCAAATAGATTCTTAGTCAAAGTTAAAGTTAATTTGATTGGCACAAATCATATACATTATATTTTTTTGGACAGAGGAATTATACTCTAGTACCCTACTCCTACCGCATGGAGTATTGGACAGCGACACGTCAAAATATTACTTTGACTCCTTGTTTTTATAAAAATATTTATCAAAAAGTGATATATGTATATTTTTATAAATGTATTTTTTAAGATAAATCTATTTATATGACTTTCATATTTCTAAACTCAACAACTTAAAAGTTATTTATGATTTATACTTTCAACGTTCGATCAAGTCTTGTCAAAACGACTTTAAGTATGGAGGGAATACGTCATTTTGCGGCAGTGGACGTATGGACCTCACAGGGGCATCGTCATGGAAGTCTCGGGTGTGACCATCGTTCGCCCGAGATCACCGGGCGGGCCCTGTTTAGTTTCTCCAGACTCTTAAAAAGTGCACCATACAAAAAGAAGATTCTTCGTCACATCAAATTTACGGTACATGCATAGAGTACTAAATATTAACGAAATAAAAAACTAATTGCACAGTTTATTTTAACTTTGCGAGACGAAACTTTTAAGCCTAATTGGTTAATATTTGGACAATAATTCACAAATACAAACGAAATACTACATTATAGAATTTTGACTATGTAAAGTTTGCTTGTCCAACCACCGTGCGGATGGAATTTTGACTATGCAAAGTTTGCCTGCCCAACCACCGCCCGGGTCAGGTCAGGTCGGGGTAGATCCATAAATTAAATGAAGAAAGGGATCTATCGATTCATATACGTATAGCTCTCGACTTTCAAGGCATTGGCCGGAGTAGTACTTACTACTGTAACAAATGACGTGGACGGTTGATCCTGTAGCAGCCTAGCAGGTACGTGTACGTAGCAGCCTAGCAGGTACGTGGACGGTTGATCCTCCGGCCGACGACCGACGGAGCTAGCGCGAGGCAGGACCAGGAGTGCGTGCGTATTAGGCGCCGGCCGGTGGGACAGTGTTTTCGCTGTGCGTAATTGCACGGGAAATGGACCCCCACCCGGCCGCTGATCCGTCATGATTCCAGGTACTTGCGTACCCTAGCCTCCGGGAGGAGCGCCTGCGCCTTCACATGACATGATGGATCGCCACGCGCCGAGCCCGTACTACGCGCCGGGCCAGGCAGGTGTATCGATCGAATTGATCGAACCCGCGCTCGGCCGGCGCTCGCTCCGCCGACTGCCCTCCGTCATTTTGGCGCACGCCCGGCCGGTCCATACTGCTTCAGTCGTTCAGCGGGCGCGACACACCGGGGGTAGCGAGCATGAGCATCCATCATGCGGTAGCATGCATGCACCACCGCGGCTGTGCTTGGCAGTTGGCACGGCGCCGGCGGGGCGCTGGATTGGTCGTATCTCTGCATAGAAAACCGCAGAAGATAAGATAAGGCTGGGTCCGATCCGGCGGCAAATCGGTCGATGCGTCGGTGGAAAATCCCACGGGCAGTACTCCCAGGCCCCCGGAGGTCGGCGGTCACGGGCTCGACGTCACTGGGTCAACGTTTGGTTGGCTGTTTCGTTTCGTTGCTGGTTCGCGAAAAAGTATTGCTGGCTGGTTTGTGTAAGAGAAAAATACTGTTTCGGCTGGAAATTTACGATCATTTACGACAAGTCACATCCAAACGAACAAGCTTGGGATTGGGCACGAGTAGCCGTCGCTGACGGTCCGGCTGGCCTATGGCTGAGACGCTGAGTGCGATAGGATCCGAGAGCACGGGACAGGGCCCGCAAAACGAATGGCGACGGCGCGGACTCGGGCCGTCGGGCGCCCGCCCACTCGCCGAAAGCGCACTGGGCCGAAAGCCTACCAACGCCCCGTGCCTCTGGTCTCTGCGGCCCATACCGTGAGTTAACTGATAACCAAGGAAAGGGAAAGAGTGAACGTGGGTCCGAACCTGCACCTATTACATCGGTTTATGTCTCACTTTTCAAAAATTCAAACTTTTAAATTTTATCTAAATACATAGAAAAAATACTGATATTTATGGTCTGTAATAAGTATTTATTTTTTAAAAGGCATTTCTAAGATTATCTAAATATATAAAGAAACTAATATTTATGGTGTGTAATAAGAATCGTTAGATTAACAGTAAATATATTATATATAGAGATATATCGAGACAATTTCCTATAAATATAATTACTTTTTTAGAAAGTTTGACTTCTCAAAATACGAGATATGTGTTTTTTGGTATAGTGAGAGTACGTTCCAAACGTTCATGTCATATGTATTGGTGGTTTCACATATAGGCAGAGCTAGCAACTGTCTCAACTGATTAAAGACTAAAGCAGTTACCAACACTCACAAATTGGGTGGTTTCACATATAGATAGAGCAACCTGCAGAGGTAGCAACTGTCCTAACTAATAAAAGACTAAAGCAGTCACCAACACTCACAAATGGGGTCTAAAAAGGCTGATCTTGATCGTACTGTCCTTTTGGCTTTGATGCCGTCATATAGGTTATAAAGAGACAACTATGATAGGTGGAAGTCGGAGTTGTGGCTAGCTAGGTAGAGCGTTTGGGCGAGCTCCTCTGGACTCCTACTTCTAGCATTGCAGGAGAGTCGGAGGAGCCAGTTTGAGGGGTCTCCTCGTTCGGAAGACACAACCAGATGAAGTTGGAGCTGTCTCATCGTTGCGCTATAGGACTGTGCAATTTCTAACAGTAGAAAAGGAGCTGCACCAAAGGAACCCTAGTTTTTCACATCTAATTGTTTTACATGTTTTGGCCAAACTAACAATGTCGTGTGCCTGTATCATTGTTTGTCCAAGTTTACTCCCTACGTCCTGAAACAGAAGGGGTCCAAGTTTCTTCTAAGTTAAACTACTCCCTCCGTCCAGAAAAGAATGCAATTCTAGCACAGTGTTATGGTTTTGTATCTTAAGTTTGATCAATTATAGATAAAAAATTATCAATATTTATGATATCAAATAAATATTATTAGATTAATTACAAAATATATTTTTATAATAAATTATTTTGGAGCCGTAAATGTAAATAATATTTACTAGAAATTTGGTTAAACGTGAACTACTTTTGCTGCCACGCAACACGTAGTTGTATCCTTTTCTGGACAGAAGGAGTATATTAATTTTAACTAAAATCGTAGAAAAGAAGAATAATAGTTAGACATCAAATTGGCACCATTGGATACGTTATGAAATATGTTGTCATAATTTACATATTTGATGTCACAGATGTTAATATTCTTCTCTGTAAATTTGGTTAAACTTTAGGTAGCTTGACTTAGGACAAACTTGGATCCCTTATATTTTATACAAATGGAGTAGCTGATAAACTCGGGCGTAATTGATAGTCCCACATCTCATTTGGGCAAAGAGAACAATAGAGGCTAGACTATGTTATATACTCCAAACCATAGATGCTTAAGCCATCCATTCAATCAGATGGTTTGCGAATTTGGGATTCCTGTCGGGAATTTCTTGAAAACAGCACCTACTGTCAACCTTGTTCCTGGTGCGCGATCTTGTTCTTGGTATTTGAGTGAGAATATATGGGATATTTGGATTGGAGAATAAATCTATTCTAGATGAGACAATGCGTCATGAGTTTATCTCTCAAATTTAATCGAATGATTTCATTTCTCATACTAATACTAATTATTAGCTTGTGAAAAATAAGATAATGATGTATTAACTTATTCCATTCCGCAAACAAACAAAAAGTTTAAAAGTAAGATGACGATGGACTATCTCATCCATCCTATGACCCAACAGCCAACACCCTCTACTGTCGTCGATCGGAACAGCCGAACAGGAGTACCGTTTTTCGCTTTTGCGAAATTGCTCCCACAGTCCCGCTCGATAGCTCAGTGCTGAAACAACATGCGACGTGCTGATTCGGGGACTGGAATTCTTCGTAAACCTTTTCCAAGCTGCGGTACTAGAATTCTTCCCATACCTTTTTTAAAAACTTACAGCCCCAATCGGACATTCAAAAAAGGATATATGATCTCTCTCCACTGAGATCAACCAGAAGCTTTCCCGCGCGTTCGGCTGGCTGGCCGCGTTCGGCTGGGCTGGCCAGCGTTCTCAGAAAAACACTGTTCATATGAACCATGTTTTCAGTTGAAATAGTATTTTTCTCTCACATCAATCAGTCGAAACAATATTTTAACTTATTTTTTAGTCCTGCCGAACAGCCCCTTCAGTGCTCGCACCGGCACGACACGAGGCATCGTCATCGTCATGCTCAACAACACGACACGACAAAGGGTGGAGAAGACACGACGGTTTCAGATGGACACCGCAGATGATACTTGACGATGCAATTTGCTCACCTTGCGTAGCACATGATGTATTTTTAATCCTTTCTTTGATCGCCATTCCAACTAATAACATATTCCATCACCAGTTCGATCGACATCACGCGACTTCGTCCGGATCTCGATCGGCCGGTGGCCGATCAGTAAGGCAGGCATGGCGTCCGAGGTAGCCAGGCTCGCCGTGGTCTCGGCCGCCGCGTCCGTGGCCCTGGCCTACGCTCGTCTCGCCACCTCGCGGCTGGCCCCCAGCATCCCCCGCCTCGCGGCGCTCCTCCCGGCGCTCCTACTCCTCCCAGTCCTCCCCTTCGCCTTCTCTTCCATCCAATTCCGCACCATCTCCGCCTTCTTCCTCGTCTGGCTCTGCGGCTTCAAGCTCCTCCTCCTCGCCGCGGGGCACGGGCCGCTCCACCCCGCCCTCCCGCTCGTGCGCTTCGTCGCGTGCGCCGCGCTGCCCGTCAAGGTCCGGGACGAGAACGAGAAGCAGCAGCAGCAGCAACAGGCATCCCGCTCCTCTTCTCCGCGCTCGTCTCCGTCCGGTGCTACAGGGCGCGGATGCCCACGTACGCCGTGCCCGTGTTCGACGGCGCGCACGTGTACCTGATGCTGGAGCTCTTCCTCGCGTCCGCCGCGGCGCTCGCCCGCGCGCTGCTGGGCGCGGAGCTGGAGCCGCAGTTCGACCGGCCGTACCTCGCCTCCTCCCTCCGCGACTTCTGGGGCCGGCGCTGGAACCTCATGGTCCCCGGCGTGCTCCGGCCCTGCGTGTACCGCCCCGTGCGCGCCCGCTTCGGCGCCGCGGCGGGCGTGCTCGCGGCGTTCCTCGTGTCCAGGGCCATGCACGAGGTCATGTTCTACTACATCACGCTGGAGGCCGGGACCGGGGAGGTGACCGCGTTCTTCGCGCTGCACGGTGCATGCGTGGTGGCCGAGCGGTGGATGGCGCGGCAGCGCGGTGTGTGGCGGCCGCCGCGGCCCGTCGCCACGGCGCTGACGCTGGCGTTCGTGACGGGGACCGGGTCGTGGCTCTTCTTCGCGCCCGTGATCCGGAGCGGGCTGGACAAGGCAAGGCCATCATCGCGGAGTGCGAGGGGATGATGGCGTTCTTGGAGCGGGCTGGTCGGAATTTGGCCGCGATGGCACATTTGGTTTGAACCTCTGTAAGGTACTACTGGTACATGTAACAACATTTTGTAGACCCATTTGGTTGTCTGCAGAGATTGCACAGTTAACAGCGGCAGGCCAATGTTAACTAGTAATGGTTTGTGTTGGCCTGTTGGGGCGAGGGCGCGAGGCGAGTGCCAGCACTGATTGGGAAGCAACGTTGTGCACGGGCACAGCGAGAATGTGTTTGAGATTGCTTTCGTTCCGGTACGCATCACTGGAAAGGTGGCGCAGCACCGATCGATGTTGTACCCAACGAGACCAGAGCAAGCTCTCGCACAGATTTGCCTCTTGCAATTGCAAGTTGATGATTAGAGCAAACACTGCACTTCCATGATCTCATGACACCACCGGAACGCCATGGTCCATGCTTTCCTTTCAAAGATCACAAAACGGCAAACGAGCAAACACATTATGTGCAAATCAGATCGTCGTCCGATTCAACCACCAACGCTGGAGTCCTCGTCGTCAGAGTCCAGCTTCCACCACGGGCCATTTGGTGAGAGACCATTATGGGAAGTGGGCTTCGACGGAATGCCATCCCGCAACGGGGCTTCGCCAGGATGCCTTTATGAAGTGCGACACAACCGCAAGGATGCCATCCGAGGGAATTTAGAGCCTTTTATTCCCCTTCTACCCCTCCCTTCTCTCTTTTCCTTTCACGGTCGCGATTGGGACGGACAGAACGGGATCCACGAACGGATCGAGCCCTCGGGCTCTTCTCCTCCGTCGCCGAGGTACCCCACGGCCGCCCGCTCGATCCGCCTTCCCACGCCCGGCCAACCCCCCGCAACCGCGCGCTCCCCCACGCCCGCCCGCGCTCCGCGAGCTCCCCCACGCCCGCCTGGCCAAGCTTCGCCTGCGCGGCCTGCACGCCATGGCCGGCTCCAGCTCTCCTTGGCGCGGCAGCAGCGCCTCCACGCCGGCCATGGACCACACCACGGCAACGACGCCCACAAGGACGAACAAGTACACAATACCGCGAAGCCGAAGGATTTCAAACAATGAAATCCCTCTTATTCATTGCCCAGACTGTATGTGTCGGTTTCTGAAGGTCTGTACATCGAAGACAGAGAAGAACTACGATCGCCAGTTCTATGTTTGTCCAACTCGAACGGTGAGAATGGTTAGCTGCAAATTCTTTATGTAGTCCTTGCTGTGTGATTTGATGACTGAATCAATTTGATTGATTTCCATTCATGTGGCGACAGAGAGAAGGTGCTGGCTGTCCATTTTGGGAGTGGGAAGAGGGATATGAGCAATACTTGGTTGACCAAAAATTGGTGCCTCCAGATTATCAACCTGTTTTCGAGTCTACTAAGTTGCGGCCAATTGTCGAAGACAAGCCAAATTCTGGAGAATCAAACTATGATGAACAAGTAAAGCAGCTTAGGGAGATAGCAATGTTGCTGAAGTATTTGATTCTTGTCTGTGGACTAGTGTTAGTTAGCAATTTGTATGCAATTGTGAGGAGTGGATGAATCTTGTGTACTTGGTACCAAAATGTATCAGCTATGCCAATGAATCAATGAAATGTTATGTTCTCAAGTGACAAATTATTTTCTCTGTTGCTGCAATGTTATGTACAGCCAGCCTGATCTCTGTATAGAGGTTGGCCAGGGCTGTGGAGTTGTATTTGGACTCCAAGTCTGGGTCTCTAGTTGTTTGGGTTGTATTAGGCAAGGATCTTGTGTATTTTGTAGCAACTGATAATCTATTGAAAACAGTTAAAGGTGGTGGAAATATAGTTCATGTCTTATGTACAGGTGACATGGAAATATAGTTCCTGTCTTACTTGGAGTCCACCAAGGAGAAATAATTTACAGTAATGCAGAACGTTTCAGGATGGAAACCAAAATCTATAAATGACTGTCATACCTCTAAGAAGTGCCATTCTTCTTCTTTCAAATCAAACTTTTCAGTATGGAGATCAGTGAACTGCAGCTGAATTTATACAAAGAAAATACAAAATACTCATAAGAAATAATATAGTTTATAGAGCGACAAAGTAATCTGTTAATAAACTTACAGTATGCATTTTAGTTTCTTGATCGAAGTCAACTATTCAACATGATAAACTTGAAACATGATAAAAAGCCTAGCACTTTTCTGCAGTTCGAAGATCCACAATGACAAACTTGAGCTGCTCCAAACTGGACAAGCTTAAGCCTGAACAATGGCAGCAATTGCAGTGTAAGACTCAACAAGCTGAACAATGGTCAACAATGGCAAAGAATTGTCCACCCTCGTCGACTTTAAGCCCAACAATGGCTGCACAATATAACTATTCCAAACAATTGACTCAGCTGCATAAGATGGGAAAAATGTAAGACTGAACAATGGCACAATTCCAGTGATAACCCCAGCAAATAAATCAGCAGCCATTGCAGTGTTATCAATCAGCAGCCATGCAGCCATACAATTTGTTTGATGAACCAGCTATCCAATGGCAGACTTGGTACCAAAATGTATCAGCTGTGCCAATGGCACAGGGTTCATAAGAAAGCATTCAATATATAATTAAGTTTCACAAACACACAAGTCTGGTAGCACACATGTTTTAAAATGGAAAAGGTTCACAAACCACACTGACTCATACAATTAAGTTCATACAGGACACAGGTTCTCAGATATTTTTCATTCTCCTTGGGACCAACTTCTTGGTACATCGCTTTTCTTCTTTCTTGGTGTTCCTTGAGTGGTGTTTGGCACCCATCGGTATCAGAGGGTGGACTTCGTGCCTTCTCTATGTTCTCATGCCTTCTCCCATCAAGAATGTCAATCGGTCAAAAAAGGAATAAATTAATTTAGTAATCGAACATTGTAATTCTCAAGAAGAATAGATGGTCATCATCACTATGTTTACCCTCTTGTTAGCCTAATTGGGCTCTCTTGCAAGATTGTTTTCTTGGTTGGTCTGATGGGGCTAGTAAATACTATTGAAGTTTCCTGAACAAATGGCACTATAGCTGTTTCTTGAACAAATGGCACTATAGTCAGATCATTTTCAAACTTGCACAGATGCATTTTCATCTTGCATGTTTGCATGGTCGATTGCACGAGATGCATTTTCATCTTGCCTGCAGTTGCATGGTCGATTAGCGATGAGGATTTTCAGAGCTCTTTATCTTGCCTCTTTGTCCTTTTTTGTTGGGATTTTAGCATTTGGCCCATATTTAGTAGTATTTTTCTCCGGCTTCCTTTTCACCTGTAGAGGAAAATAATAAACAAATATTTAAAATAGCATGGTGCAATCAGTCAATAAATAAAATGAAGAATAAAAGATGCTACCTTTTCTTTGTCCCATTAAATTTGCACTTGTAGCTAGTTTCTCCATGACCCAACTCACCGCACCCCTTGCACTTCCTTTTTCCCATAATCAGTTGCCTCTTTCCCATAGCAGCTTCCTGGGCTTCCAATTCTGCATCTTTATCGGCCTGATTGGCAGCATCCTTTGCATCTTTTTTGCTCATTCCACCTTTTCCCCCTTCCAGACATCCTTTGATTCGCAATTTTCTGGGCTTTCCAGCAGGTCTTTTAGCTAATGGTGCTTTAACAGCAAAGTCAAGCTCAACATCAGGCCACTGGGTCTTATCTGGAAGAGGCTCTATCAGTCTCTTATAAGCATTCTTGAACCTCTCCAGAGAGTAATAATCATGAACGAAGTCTTCCATCCTGACATCAATACTTTGTTGTGCTGTTATGAGGCACAAGGCATGCTCACAAGGTTTTTCAGTGTGCTGCCACTGAAGACATGTACATTCATGCAAATGTGACTTCACAACATGCCTATTATGTGTGCTGGTTGTGTCATGTATCTCTGCAGCAAAAGGACCTGCCTTCACAACTGTTAGGTGTCCTAAACCCCTAGTCCTTGCTCTCAATTGTCGAAGTACTGCTGGTAGGATCCTACCATGAAGCCTCTCTGAAATTGCACGTCTCTTGTGAAACAGTGTCATTATCATCTCTCTAATCTTGTCAGCAAGCTCAACTATAGGTAGGTCTTTCCAATCTCTGATCCAATTATTGAAGCTCTCTGCAAGGTTGTTGGTAACATAATCACACTTGATTTCAGGGTTGAAGGCACTTCTCATCCATAACAATTTGTGATGGTTTTCAAGCCATTCCAATATTTGAGGGTTAGCTGAAACAACTTGGTTGAAAAAATATTTGAAAACTCTAGGTCTATATGTTCTTGCTGCAGGATACATCTTTGAATATGTATCTCCCCCAAATCTTTTAATAAAATTCTGCATTAGATGCCTAAAGCATTCTCTATGTTCAGCTTGAGGGAACACATCTTTAACGGCTTTTTCTAGCCCTTTGCATGCATCAGTGCAGATAGCAAGTACTGGTAGGTGTCCTATGGCCTTATGCAGCTGAGTCATAAACCAAGTCCAGTTATCTATTGTCTCACCATCTATGAAACCAAAAGCAAGTGGATACATCCAATTATGACCATCTATAGCAAAGAGTCATGACCATATGCCCATTCCATCTACCATTAAGTGATGTTGAGTCTATGCTAACATAAGGCCTACAACCCTCTAAAAAACCCTCAATGCAAGGACTTAATGCACAAAAAAATCTGTGGAAGTACAATTCTCCATCTACCTGTTTTACGCCAATTTCAATGATACTTCCAGGTGATCGCTGCAGTACCTCTGCCCTCCAATTGAACAACATTTGGAAGCTTTGTTTCCAGGTGCCAAACAACTCGTCACAGGCCATTTGTCTTCCCTTCCATACGGTGTCATAGGTAATCTTACATTTGTGCTCTTTTTCTAGTATTGCCCTCATTTGTTTGGCGCCTATGGTGGGATCGTCCTTTAGGTGCTGAATGGCCTTTGATTTCACCCAGATACTTGTTGGAGTGGTGGTATACCGCTTTGAGCTAGCAAAAGACAAATGTGTTTTCAAGCAATCAAAGTTGTAACTCAAGCAACAAGCAAATAGCAAAAATATAAGATATATACAAACAAAAAATAGTGACATATAGTTAGGAAATAGTAAATAGTTATACACCTTCATGGTGGACCCATCAGGTTGTCTACGCCCATTAATATGCCATGAGCAAGCATCATCTATGCAATTGGCAATGTACCTCGTCGGATCTGTTTTAACTATGCGGTATTCAAACTCCTTATTTATTGCAAATTGTTTCATGGCCAGTCTAAACTCCTGCATGTTTGGATACACGGTGCCAATATCCATAGAAGGGTTGTTAGGATCATAAGCATACAGATCCTTCCTCAGCACATGATCATCAACCGGAATTGCAGCACAGCTTGTGTCAATATCAATGTCGAGAGTTCTATTTTCAATTATCTTGTCCCTCTCTCGCAGAAGACTTGACATCAACATCACTAGGCTTATCATGCTCATCACTCTCGTCTCTCAAACCCAAAAGACGAAACAACTGATCCTCATCAATTATATCTAGCATACCCTCACCCTCTCTATCAAATGTATTTTCAATCTGTAGTTCCTCCCAATTAACAGCTCCAGAATGCCCTGCAGCCCGTGAACTACCAAGAAAATCACATGCTTCGTGTGAATTGCCAACATCTGAGTTTCATCTACAAGGCGAGGCGGATCATTGCTACCAATATCTGGAGTTTCTTCTCTGCATCTACACTATCGTCGGAGCTCAGGATCGAGCCTCGGACAAATTGTAAAAATTATACCGTGTTAGAAACCTATTGACGAGGTGATCAGTATTGGCTTCCCAAACCGAAAGTTAGAGAAATACAAGAGGAAAGAGGAATCTTCTGAACGAGGTTACTCCATCTCGCATTCCATGGGGAAGGTCATCAGCACCGCATCGAGCTTTCTTGGCCGGGGGCGGGGGGAACGCATGAGTCGGGCGGCGTGGGGAGCTCATGAGCGCCTTGGCAAGGCGTGGGGAGCGCGCATGGGGGGTTGGCGAGGCGTGGGAAGGCGGATCGGCGCGGGCCGTGGGGTACCTCGGCGACGGAGGAGAAGAGCCCGAGAGCTCGATCCGTTCGTGGCTCCGCTTCTGTCCGTCCCAATCGCGACCGTGAAAGGAAAAGAGAGGGAGGGGGTAGAAGGGAATAAAAGGCTCTAAATTCCCTCGGATGGCATCCTTGCGGTTGTGTCACACTTCGTAATGACATCCTAGCGAAGCCCCGTTGCGGAATGGCATTCCATCGAAGCCCACTTCCCATAATGGTCTCTCACCAAATATCTCTTCCACCACGGGTTCCCCTTGGCCTTGCGTGCCAGCTCCTCGACTCCATCGCCGTCACCGTCCTCGAACACCACCTCTTCCTCGTCGTCATCGTCCTCATCGTACCTCCACTCCAGCCCCTTGAGCACGTCCCTATCCCGCCACTTGCCGGACACGGACGGCGCGGCCTTCCTAGCCTTCCCGGCGATCACCTCCGCCCAGTTGAACCCGACGTCCGCCCACCTCGCCAGGCCGGACTCACCGCCGACGACCACCGACCGCACGCCCCTCTCCCTCGCCACCCGCAGCAGGGAGGCCAGCTCCTCGTGGCCCGAGACGAGCATCAAGAACCGCGCGGACCCTTCGTCGAGCACCAGCTGCGCGAGCTCCCGGAGGGACGCCGCCGGGGTCCGGGAGAGCTCGACGCGGACGCCGGCGCGCCCGAGCTCGTCGGACGGGGAGGCGGTGCCCGCACCCGCGGTGAGCTCGCGCGCGGCCTTCTCGTACTTGGAGAGCTTGAGGGACAGCGCGGCGGCGAGGCGCACGCGGCGGCCGCCGCGGGCGGAGTCGATGCGGGCGACGCGCTTGGCGTGCTCGCGGGCGTGGATGGCGTCGAAGTGGCGAAGCAGCGCGTCGCGGGAGCGGAAGCGGCGGCCGCAGAGGCGGCAGAGGTGGGTCGTGGCGGCGGACGCGGCGGGGGCGGGCAGGCGGTGGGACGGGTGGACGAAGGCCGCGGAGAGGCGGAGACGGCCGAAGGAGGTGGCGGCGAGGTGGAGGCGCACGGCGGCGTCGTAGAGCAGGAGAGTAGACGGGGGACGGGAAGCGGCCAGGTCCCAGAGGACGGCCACGGCGGTGGTCGGCTTGCGTGCTGCTGGTGCGGTGGCGCTGGAGAATGAGCGGAAAAGGGGCGGAGCAAGGAGTTTTGGGCCTGCGGCGAGGAGGCGACGCTGGAGGTGTGAGAGCGGTGGCAACATGACTGCTGTTGTGTTTGGTTTAGGGATCAAATGGGTTGGGTTCATTCAATTCCACCAAAACGAAGAAAGGCTGCGGGGGCGCCAAGGACGAACGGCGGAGATGGCCGAGTCGGATGAGCGGCGGCTTTGTCGAGCTCGAGCTACGGCGGCGGGCCGGCGGCCGAGTTAAGGACGAGCGACGGCGGCAGAGGGCCGTTGAGTGCGGACGCGCGAGAAGATGCGCGGGGGCGGAGCAGCTGATGCGGTGCGCGGTGGTGAAGTAGTGGCCCGAGCAGCGTCGGTGGCCGATTGCGGGCGCGTGAAGCGGCCGCAGCGACGCGGGGATGAACAGAGGAAGGGAGAAGAAGGGAGGAGAGCCTGACGTGTGGGCCCCTGTGTCAGGAACCTGAAGCCACTTAGCCACATTCAACCCATCTCTAACCAAACCCAAGATGGGTTCAACCTAATAAAAAGGACTAGGAGCCTGTTCGGTTGGCTGGTTCGTATCGATGCTGGTTCGTGAAAAAGTACTGTCGGTTAGTTTGTGTGAGAAAAAAATACTGTTCCGGCTGGAAATTTACGATCGTTTACGACAAGCCACAGCCAAACGAACAACCTCTAGGATTGAGCAAACACATCCTACGTCGTTTCCAAATCTGTAGGGTTTAGGGTGACTTTCGAGTAGCACTTCAAATTGCAAGGAAGTGGACATGCAACTATTCAATAATGCTGCACATGGACGTTCCCAGGCCTGCCTATGCTTCACGTTCAGTACGACGTGGTTTCTTAAAAAAAACAGTTATATTTCCATTTCCCACTGCCACAGGCATGCGACCGTCGCGGCGCGCATCCATCGCGCTGCCTGCCCGCCTCTGCCCTTCTCCAGCCGCGGCCTTTCCATCCGAACGTCGCGCGTCCACTCTGCCTCGCTGCTACCGCGCGCCCATCCCGCGCCGCTCGCTCCCACCCGTTGCGGCGCACCGCCTGTCAGGCCGAGCCAAGCCCGGTGCTGCTAGCGATGGTGGTGGTGGTGCTTGCGCGGCGCTGGCTCTGACCTCGACGGTTGGAATTGCTCGGCCCCGAGCTCCCCCATGTTGCAAGCGCATGTTTCAAGTGTTTCATATGTTTCGTAGGCATGTTTCAAGTCTTTTATATAGAGGTTGCAAAAGTAGATCAGGATGTTGTATATGTTGCAATGATCGTATACGTATGTTGCAAGTGTCTTTTCCCAAAGTTTTATCTGTTTTTTCAAACGTATGTTGCAAGCGTGTTTATCTGAATTTTGTATATGTTTCACACATATGCCACAATTGTTTTATCGAGATGTACATATGTTTGTAATTGTTTTTCAAGTGTTTTTTATATGTTTTTTCAAGTGTTTTAGGCGCATGTTTTTAATGTTTCAGCCGTTTTATACGTATGTTGCAATTGTTTTATTTGGATGTTTCAAAAATAGATCGAATGTGTTGTGCTTGTTGCAATGTGAGCTACTACGCAGCTAGGGCGCCGTGCATGAAGCACAGCGGCGCAGCAAGCGTGGAGGGGCGTGAGAAGCGTGGGGGAGTGGCACGGGCAGGCTCCGCCTGTGCGTGCAGCAACATGCTGGAGCCGGCGTCCGGAGACGAGAGGTCCGTCGGGTCGTCCGGGCGCTATGATGCCGAACATCATAACACCATTTTACATGAAAAATGGAAACAGTGATGCAAGCAACAATTGTTGATTATAACCAGACATAAACGCTGATTCGACACGTCAGTATCTGCTGTAAATCAGAAAGCATACTTCAGTTCATATAGATGAATTATAAACTCTTAAGCTCTCTTAACGTGGCATCAGATGCTACTGTAACCATGAATGATGCACCAGAGCAGTATCTGATAACATGATCAACCATAATCATGATCAACCATAATACGACAGCTTTCAAAAGATGCGGTATGATGCATCCGAGTTCACCAGGTTGCCGAAGCATTACATCTTCTGCATGATAACCGAGTTTGCCAGCCCAGCTTGCTCCACGGTCTGCGTTGGGTCAGCCAGCTGCTTGGGTGGGAAACCTGTCTGCAGCTGATAAGGCTTTGCAGCTCCAGGCCGAGATGCGTCAATGAAGGACCTGATGTTTCCCACGGTGTGGTGCATGTTGAACCGAGCGACCATGCGAGTGCCATCAGCCAGCCTAAGCTGTATGGATGTAAATGGCTGGGAGTCATCCAGGACTATGCCAACAGACCTCGAAGCAGCAGGGGCCGCTGATGCAGGAGCAGGTGGTGCACTCTCATCTGGGGAAGGTCCACCACCAAGGGTTCTTCCAACACCCTGGAAAGCTGATCGAGGCCTTACAGGTTCCTACATGAACAAAACAAGAAGGGACATATAAGTACTGGAATCAATTAATCAATGAGAATACAGCCATATGCCCATATGCAAGGAGAAAGGTTAAGAGGGCTCACCCTATAATCTTCCATCCTTTTAATAACAGATACATCAACATGTTCTCCATCAGTAGGCACCAGCTCCCTGGGGCACTTTGACATCTTAAGGCTCTGAAAACCCGAAATGGTATACAATTAGTGTAAGAACGATGAAGGCATTCAATTATTCATGTTTACATGTCCCATTCAAAAAATACTGTGATGTCCTGTTACTATACTAAGAACTTAATAATAGCTCGACAAATCTTTATGCCCAAGAGAACAAAACAAACAGCCCAACACTATGAGCATACATGATCTTTAAGACATGGCCTATTAGGAAAACGAAAATTATAGAGAACCATAGGATGTAGACAAATCAGTTCATGATTTTCCGGCACAAGAAATAGCAATACGGCACATTAATGTTGAGATCTGTCTCAAGTTTTAATAGAGTCAAGTTTTGAGTTCCAGAGGTGCAGAACCAATTGAAGTAATAATGGAAGTAACATACTCCCTCCGTCACAAAATACTTGACCTTATAGCGATCAAATTTTGTCGCAAAATAGTTGTCATTCTTAGTTCTCAATGTACCTCTCTCTTCTCCCCAATACACTTTTTTCTTTGGGAAAATACATACTATCTGTATTTCTAGGGGTACTAAGGCCTTTTGCCTTGAGCATTGGTATCTGTGATGTAGATCCTAAAATGTCTACTATTCTGGGACAGAGGGAGTAATTAGCATTTTGAACATGATAGCTCACTAATTAAGTCATCAACCAAAATGTTCTGGAACATCTGAAGGGCAAATGGTCCAACCTTCCACAATAAAATGCAAATGACAGCATGAGAGATGAGCAGTACAAGCATAATAAAGTGATTACTGTTACATAGTCATCTACAGAACAACACACAGAACCCCTCCTTTTTTACTTGTTTCATTTTGGACACAGACACAATCTCCAGATCACTGAATTGCTTTTTAAAAGCAATTGTTATTAGAAGTTACTGAAAACCAATCACTTAGAGTTGGTGATATTTTTTAATGACAAATTTACACTGCCATCTTAAGTGACATTTTAAAACTTGTGTATACATATAATAACATAAGTGATCAAAGTTTCTAAAGTTTGATGGCACAAATTCTTAAATAGTGAGAAAAGAGGGAATACTTGGAATAGATCAAATCATTCAGAAATATCATATGGGATCACCTCAAGGAACTCAGCATTTTCAGGATCATCGTAGTATCTCAGTGGACCATCATCCACACTAAAGCCATTGTTCCACAAATGTATATTGTATGATTCAACTGGTGCTAGTTCCTGAGGTGCAGCAGATGGTACTGTCTCCCCTGTAAGAAGTCGGCCAGTCCCTGGAAAGCTCCTAGAGCTGGAAGACTCGTCACCAAGAAAAGGGGGCATTCCATGGATAGCACCTGCCTGCCTGGCTTGTTCAAATATCGCATCCACATCATTTCTTCTTGTTGGATCTTGAACAAGCATTCCACTGCACATTACAAAGATAAATATAAAATTACTCACGCAAGAAAAGAAAGAGCACAAGGTCAACTTACAAACTTAAATCCCCTATTAATTTGTGGAGATTTTCTCTAACGCCAAATGTGGAGCTAAACATCAAGGATATCTTCTTGTCAATGTTCTGCACGAAATCTACATGGAAAAAGCGCGTCCAAAAATAGAACAAGATGCCTTTGAAAATAAGGCAAGTAATGGACCGTAAAAAGGGCGCACTCAGCAGAGAGCTCCCGCCTGCAAAAGGGTCCGGAAAAGGTGTCGGAAGCCTTACCTCGCTTTTGCGAGGAGACCATGACTTCGAACCCAGGACCTTCCGGTCACAGGCGGTAAGACTCTACCGCTTGCACCAGGCCCGCCCTTCAAGTAATGGACCGTAAAGCTACAATATATTGACTTGTCATTCAAAGGGAAAAAAAGAACCACTTTTAAGTGGAATACTAACTAAGAATATTACTTTCTATTGGATAGCCCTCAATTCCATAGACAATCAGAAGCAAAAAAAAAAAAAAAAACCTCAAGAGTTGTTCCTATTTTGGGGATTTGCCTTCCTTTTTACTCCCGCATAAAAACCCTCCTCCAGCAACAAACCTAAGAGTGCCAACCAGATCAATAAGTCCATCGATGGTACCAGATTCTAGCACCAGGCCTATGGTTAACCCAAGGAATGAGCTGTAATCAGCGACTTTCTCAGATAGACAATTCGTCATACACATTTAGCCATCTCGCATCTCGCCCGAGGGGCCCTTCCCCATAGTCCTGGCATTTCTAGTTCGGCTAACCAAGGCACGAAAAGAAGAACTCTCGATCAAGACCTAAAAGCACACCCTCGAACTGGCATTCGATATACCCAAAGCCATTCCCTCAACCCAGAGGAATGACATGTTTTTCTTTCATATAATTGTATTTGTGCGCAAGCTACACTGAAATTTAAATAATCAAGCAATATGCCCAAATAAATGCATAGGCCAGGTTTCCTCTGTTGCAACTTTTAAATTAATCATGCTACTAACTATGTTAACTGCATCGGATGTTTATTATTCCTCGTGCAAAGCACAATGCAATTCAAGAGCAATAAGGATAAGTACATTATGGGTAAAGACAACAATATTTGAATGGCACATCTACATGTGACCAAATTTGCATCATCATGATTTGAGGTGTAAGTACAATTTAATGCACCAAAGGGCTTGAACAATTCTCCATTCAATTTCAGTCAGCACATGTGCCTCAAGTTTGAGGTCCAGTTTTTTTTTTTAATTATTATGTAGCAGTTGTATTGATTTAGCATTGTCAGTTCAATGCACAAATAACTTCAGTACAGGTCACCTGCAATTTCATCTGATACGTGTCCAGAGACAGAAATATCCTGTAATCCAAAATCTATAAGGCTCAGTCCCAAAGCACGCCAGACACAGAAATATCCTGTAATCCAATAGTGCATAGTTCTTCTGACGAATAAAAAAACAGACACAATTTTTATGCAACTTGGGAGCATCAAATGCTACTGCTACCGCCCATACCACATCTACATAAGTCACGGCTGCCCTATATAGCACAGCTCACATGGAAAATAAAAGTCAAATCCGCGCAAAAGTAACAGACGAAACGCCCTATAAACCCTAGTGCAGAGAATCAGAGATTTCACCCTGAAGGTTAAAGCCGCTTATCACTCTAGCCAGACGACCTAACTAGATCACGAAACTAGGAGGCGATTCCGATGCCCGTACGCACGATCGCAGGCAAATCCCAGCAGAATCAATCAGGAAACACTGGCCCACGAGAGGGGCTGAGATATACCTCTTCTCGCCGCCGGTGTAGTACTCCTGGGGCTCGTCGTCGTCGCTGCCGCCGCCGCCACCTCCGGCGCCAGGGAAGCCGGCGGGCCCGCGGTTTAAGTCGGAGAGCGTGCGGATGGTGGGGGCCCCACGGCCGCCGCCGGCCGCCGGCTTCTTCCCGCTGTTGGAAGAGGAACTCATCGCCGACGAGGTGGGGATCAGGGTCGCGGCGGAGGGGAGGGTAGGGTTTGGTCCGCGCTTTGGCTTCGTGTCGTGTCGCGTGTACTCGGTGAGTCGAGCCGCCCCTGTTTTGGTGGGTCGAGAGAGACTCGGGACTCGGGTGGGTCCTGACCTCTCGGGGGCTTTAGGATATATCCGCGCCATATCATTTGCGGAGACATCACACGTTGCACTTCGCACGCAGCCGGAGCCCGGCCCGGAGACGGGAGAAGCGCGATGGACGGCTCGGATTAAAGGGGTGTTTACTGTCGTATCGGATGTTTCACACTAATTAAGAGTAAAAATTAATTGTATAGATAGAGACTAATTTACGAGACGAATCTATTAATTCTAATTAGTCCATGATTTGACAATGTGGTGCTACGGTAAACATATTCTAATGATCAAATTAGTCTCTATCTATACATTTAGTTTTATAATTAGCTTATATTTAATCCTCTTAGTTGGCATTCAAATGTCCGATGTGACAGTGACTAAACTTTAATCCCTGAATCTAAACACTCCTCTAGTTACGGGTGGTGCGCAACGCGATTGGAAAGTTCGATGATCGGCACGAGAAAAAGGCAAAATATGTATGGAACCAGTGAAAACATGGAAATCAACTCAAATAATGTATTCCAGTATTCGAATTTTTTTGAAACTTGGCACGTCCAGCTGCCATGCAGTGCCAGTTAGTTTATTGATGCTAGCCAACTAAGTTATTTTGCAATTTTCAGCCAGCTTCAAAGAACTCCCGTCCGTGTACACTGACCAAAATCAACCTCTATGCATGTGTTTGCTTTGTAGCGCTCCGATAGAAAAAAAAAGACGTGGGGAGTAAATGAAAGAGACTTATAGTTCCAGTTAATAAATAACCAAAGATAAAAAAGAGATCTTAATGAATTTGAAAATAGTTTAGGGTTCCTAATGTAAAATTGTTAATGCAACATAAACATTTTTGTTAGCTTTTTAACATTTTCCGGAAATTAGTGGCCACCGCACGGGCATGTATCCAGTAACATACAAATATGTACTCACACATAAAATTGAGATGCCAACTCAAACTACTAAAAAATCATACAAAAATGACAAATTTTCGGCTCATGTGCACTAAAATACAAGCCGAAAATTTGTTGTTTTTGTATGAATTTTTCAAATGTGGGTTTGAATTTCAACTTGTGTAAGTGAGTGCATATTTGTATGCAATATGGATGTGCCAAGTTTCAAAGTTTTGAACAACTGGGATATATTTTTTAATTGGTTTCTATTTTCTACCTAGTAGGTGATTTTTACCACATATTTTGCCGAGAAAACAGGCCTCGATCCCCCCCCCCCCCCCCAAAAAAATAACGGTTGTAGTAATTCTTAGTTACTGCACCTCCTTGGCCGTTAATGGTATTGGACGAAGTTCTATTCTTAGAATCATTTCTTTCTGCCACTTGGATCTAATTCTTTACGAAATAATATTTATGTTCCACTGCTGCCTGAATCGATTTTAATGTATGTCTGTAAGGGCTCAAAAAATCCTGATTTCTGCATGTTTTCCTAATGCCTAAATCGATTTCAATGTATGTTTGTATGAGCTCAGATTCTCATAAATCTTGATTTCTAACTAGATGTTTTTTCCTTGAACTGCAGCTGATAGTACATCTATGATCAAACAGCTTCATTACCATATGGTCATTCAAGCTAATAATGAAGTTCCAGAGTTGTTTCGTTCGCACCTGCACAGATAGAGGTCCAGGTGGGCAAAAGCAGAACAGCCATGAGCCAATTTTGTAAGGTACATCATCTTACTACCCACAGTGGATCGATCTAGATCTTTCGCCCATGTTTTTGACATTTGCGTTTCTGATTACATTAGATGATTCCATTTGAGGGATTACTGGTGGTGATCTTTCGCCTATACATAATGCCTTTATGTTTCAAAAATAGGTCAAGTGATTCAGTTTAATGAATTCCTTCTGGCGTTGAGCAGCTCCGATCGGTCGCTGTTTTATCTACGAGACATATAGGATGTAGTCCAGAATAGCTCCACAGTTATTGCTTACATTTTTTTTTTTTTTTTTTGCTCATAACTTGCTTAGTGAAGTCCCACGGTGGTTTGTCTATTGATCCGATTCTATTAATTTACGAAGATGGCAACAAAGCTGCACTTTATTCATCACTCTACTTCCTTCATTCAGGTGTACAACATGATGTCACATGAGATGTGAGATGACAGTTAGACCTGAAGCACTAGCAGCCTGTTCGGGAGGCCGTATCGTATCGTGGATTATTTACTGCTGGCTGGTTTGGTGTGAGAGAAAAACACTGTTCCCGGCTGGAAATTTACGATCGTTTACGAGCAAGCGAACAGGCTGTAGAATGATTCATTGGAAGTGGAAGTTTTGTAGTAAAAAATGTTCAAACACATTTGACTCTACTTATTTTTTCCCCTGCTCTGCTGCTCTCCATGCTATGTTCGGTTTCTAAACGTTAATCCATCTGGGTACAACACTAATGCTAGAATATTTGCTGTTAGTATATAGGTGAGTTCTCTCTGCTCTTCCTTTTGACTGTTCACAGCAATTATCCTCATAATGTTCTAAGTATACTTGATTGATAGTGGTTTATGCTAACAAATGGAGACGGCTCTTCCTTTTGACTTATGATCGTTTGTACAATTTCTTTTTGTCCTGAATCATGCAGGTTTCACCCGAGCTTGCTTCCGTTGCTTCTTCACATATATGCATTGAGCTCTTCCTGCAATTAAATAGACTTCTTATTATCTAAAGCACTACCAGGTAGGCAGGTACTTACAATCTTCATAGACTTTTGATTTCTGAACATTAACATAGTGAGTTGATGACAATAAGAGAAACTACATATGCAAGCAATAGTTTAAGTGCTCCGAAGTTAGGATCGGAATATGCAAAAAAAAAATTGTACAAAGAAAAGTAATGCCTATACAATGTGGCTGACCTGCCACAGATAACACAGATTGTGAGGTGCCACAGGGATTCCTTGCATCTGCAATGGATGTGTTATTTAGGAGCAAAATAATATTCAAATATTGAAATGGTACAGACCAATCCTCCACGAGTTGTATTCTCACTTATCTATACGCTCCTACCACTCACAACATCCCTACTTAATAATTCTGTATGAGATGATTATATCTCTATATTTCTTATAGAATATTATATGCTCAGTTGCTTCTTTACCCTTCGGGAGAGTGCATGACTTCCAATCCATAAAATTACATTGAGATATTCGGAATTTACTGCATTAGGTGATATTTTACTGTCAGACTTACCTATTGAATATTGACTGCTTCATTCTCTCCTGATCATAGACCTGTTCAAAGTTGCTAAGAGCTTCTCCGCCGACCCACCCGCCTCAGGCCCTCGGTGGCATCGCCCTTTAACCTCTCCCGTGACGCAGCAGCTCTCCCGTGCCCACGGCCCTCCTGCACGGTAGGTGCAGGGTTGCCTTCGTCCTCAACCCTCGGCATCAGCTGGTGTACTCTTCTTTTTCCTCTTTTTATTTTCTTCCTTCCTTCGTTCGTCCATACGATGTGCATATGACGATTCAGTATATACATACATGCATTCATATGTACACACCAATTCCATCGAAGCTTCGATACTTGACTCCTGTCACCTAACAGCTGCATTTCTCTGCTTGCCTCCTGGCTCCTGCTGTGTTATGCTACTGTTTTTTGTGTTATTTACGAAAGGTTGGTTGTCGCGTATGATGTGTGTACACTGACTAAGTTCATTACTTTTGCCTTACTGCGTCCGTATACCTGGCGTAGCTTTGGTAATCAACGATGCCGACGCAGGCAACATATTATTCCTTGGCCCATGGACAAAGAATGCCGCGATCGGAAATACCACGGCGTGAAGCACTAAGGTGCCGTCCTATGCCGCTTCCTGACGATGCTCCAACCTCCGATCCGTCATTGCCGCCTCTCCTCATGGTATTCGCATCACTTTTGCCAAACATGTATTTAAACGACAGTATGTCTACTCAACAACCATGTATTTTATGTAGTTTCAATACATGAATTTTTTTCACCATAGAATTAAGATCCAACAGCCTCCATTCTTCTTCTACCTCCAGCCTTCTTCTACGTCCAGACAATCACAAATCACAAGATCACAGATCACAAGAAACAATTTTTTTCTATGCAGGAACAAAAAGACAAATCGGGTCCAGCCATCCCGCATGCGTACGTGACGCGTCGCCACACGGTCCTCACACCCGTGCGGCCGATGGAGCCCTTTCTGGCAAGTTGACGCGCGCCAGTGCCACTTGATGCACCCCTGAGCTGCGATGACATGGTCTGCGCTGCATTGCACCGATCCCATTCCCTCCTGAAGGACTGTTGAAAAGAGAGAGGGAGAGGAATAAAAAAATCCATATGTTTTTTTTCCTAAAATATATGCGTTGTATAGCATTTCTGTAATTCTGTTTCTAAAAACACATGTCTGCGTCCATTGCCTTATACAGTAGTCCGATTACACCGATGCATTCTTCCAATTTTTGGCAGTGTCCCCACCCCTGTTGCTATATGTTTGCTCACTTCTTCCAAAAGGCTCACTGCTTATATAAGGTCACACTTCGCGTCGACTTGTGGCCTTGCCAATGTTTGCTCCTGGCCTTCCTTGAAAATTTGTAAAGCACATGCAACCAGGTGTTCGCTAACGTAGCCTCTTACTACCTGCACAGTTACATTATTAAGAAAATAAACGCTGAAAAAAATATTTTTCAGAAAAGCTTTGTCGACTATTATAAACTCAATGTTTTCTCTGTCAAATCAGGTCATCGCAGACAACCAAAGAGCAATTATCTAGGCCATGCTACCTTGGACCGTTGTTATGTACCTGCAATTGTAATCACGTACTGTCAGAGACCAATACTAGAGTACCCGAAGAGAAGGGACTAATGATCGTTATACGTTAATCCATCCAAGCAGTCAAAGGTGCGACTACAGCTCCAACCGACACTGAAGGCCGCGGGCTCCGCCTCGCCCGACCTCTGGAGGCGGGCTTCGCCTCGTCCGACACCGAGGCCGTGGGCTCCGCGTCGCCCGACCTCTAAGGGTGGGCTCCGCCTCGCCCAACCCTAAGGTCGTGCGATCCGCCTCGTCCGACCCCCGAGAGTGGGCTCCGCCTCGC